TATATATATATGGCTAACCGGCACCTGTTTCCAGATTCACCTATCACGTAGCGTAACATAGATGAAACCGCATGTATAACCAAGGGGACTAGCCGGGTAACCAGTCTCTTCACCAAAAGGTGAAGAAAAGGAGGCACTCCTGAGGCCATCAGAATGTGCAACTGGTTTCCCGTGTCATCAAGTCATCTGGTAACAACTGAACAAGCGATACCCACAGTGCACACGAGGGGTGGCTTAGTGGCCGCGAATTCATAAGACACCCAAGGCATGGCGATGCTGACGATTATTCAGCCTGGTTTGTACAAATTCAAATTCATTAGTGGCCGCGAATTCATAAGACACCCAAGGCATGGCGATGCTGACGATTATTCAGCCTGGTTTGTACAAAATTCAAATTCATCTGTAGCACTGCTGTGGGATTAGAAGGCCGGTAGGCTGTCTGCAGAAATATACAGGAAACAGATTAGAGTTCAGAAATGCGGCTCAAGTTGAGACGACGCATACAAAAGAAATCTGCTGGCCTCCCATGAGCACAGACCAAAAAAACTCATAATATCCTAAGCTTTATAATAGAGGTAAAAAAAACCACAAGTTCTAAGTTATTTATAAATGGAACGGCTGCACTTTGCCAATCCGTCTCGCGTACAGTGTGAAGAAAGAACAGTTCAAATCGGCTAGGTGTAAGTGAGGATAACCAGGTATGGTAAACACGACGAAGAGGTCCATGATTACAAAAGAAGCTAGCATGAGCGATTTTGGCAACATGAACATATGTGCGTGCAACGCTGCAATTTAACAGCAGCCAGCGACACCTAGTTCAGTACATCGTACAAAAAACAGCACAGACAGGTGTCCAAGGCCAGAGTATAGTACTAGGGGTTGGGTATAGGTCGTCGGTCAGTCTGTTTTCCTTTAGAACAATAATTAATCACTCGACTGTAGCACCCTTTCGGTGCCCAGCTGCCATGCCACCCAAAGGGAGCACGAGGGCTGGGATACTGCCAGGTTACCCAAGCGTAGACAGGGAAAGTCGAGAGGCAGAAGTTGGGTTCGAACCACGGACCTTCTGGTCAGTAAATTCGCGCTCTAACCATTTGAGCCATCTAGCCTCCTTTCCTTTAGAATCCACAGTGACCACCGAGACAGTCGGGACCTTCAAGGTCTTGCACAAGTCACTTAACGACAAGAGACTCCACTTCTGATGAAACAGATCAGGTTGAAAGTCGCTTCGTTTGGGAGTATGTGGAACGTCGACCATTTTCAGGAAGAGAATACGCAAGTACCGAAGAAATAGAAATTCGGCGACCAAAGTTATCTCGGAAGCGCCGCGTTGGTGGTGTAGGATTTAGCGGTCTTTCCCAAGAACATACTCTACGCACCATCATGTCAATCGAATCAACACCGAGCCATAGGATAACCGGTTGAGAAAGAACGGCGCCCATCTGGCTTGTCAAAGAAGCGCAACAGAGTCGTTCCCCATATTAGTCTGTCCCTGCAGTAATCTCATGAGCCCACCACAAAAGTACAACATACTAGCTTCTATATCTCAAGGGCGAAGTGTATCCGGTTCGGAGCCACCGCGTTAACAAATCGATCGTATCACCCTCTATAGGAAGAGCACATTGAAGTCCGTGAAATATAGCAGGCTCGCAGGGGAGCTTAGTCTAACGATTCTGACGAACAGCACGTACCCAAATACCGATGGACTTACTGCGCTGACACAGACCACCTAAGAAGGCATCCACTCAGACCGAGATCTGTGTTATCCAGCTTCGGTAACGCTCAGACAGCTTTGGCAAACGAATCCACAAAGTCGGAAACGCCTTCAGATGATGCCTAGATGCTCGGCCACGGCCAGTCGGTTAGACAGAGAATAGAGTACGTTAAACAGTGCAGATGCCAATTTGTAGCAATCTCCTCATTTAACTCCAAGTAACCTCATCTTCTACAGCAGACCGTAAGAATAATTGCTAGCCCAAGCCTAGGCAGGGAGACGTACGGTGACTAGTCAGCTAATTTTTGCGATCCCATTTCTCCACGTTACTTCACCCTAAACCCCTATTTATTCCACACTTTACTCCCTAAATCATTGTGCTCACATTCACACCTTGACTAACACAACAGCAAGGCGTCAGTGATCCGGAGACAAGGCACTGACACTATCTATACTCGCTTGGTGGTCTGGGGTTGCTGGCGGAGAGTACAACACCTAAGTAAAACACCATAATGGACCAGCGAATTTTCCTTAGACGGCTTGGAATGAGCGAGCTTAACCATAGCGTCAGTTGTGTAGCTCCAGTTTCAGATCAGCAGCAACCGGCAGCCTAACCGTCTGCTCAAACGAGGGCTGGGATACTTTCAAGTTGCCCAAGCCTAGACAGGAGCAGTCGAGATGCATAGGTTGGGCCCGAACCACAGATTATCCGGTCAGTATATCTGCGCTTTAAACACCGAGCCATCTCAAGCTCAAGCAATGACTCTGTTATCGGAGCGACGCTTCCTGAAATCTCATTGAAAACCTGACATTATTCTGTGTTGTGGACTTGCGCTCGGCGCAGCGCCATCGGATGGCGAGCACTCCGCGATTCAATTGCGCCCATCACCGGAATAAAACTCTACTCAACTGAATGGAGGAAACCCATCAGCACTCTGCGATGTAACGACGTATAATATATACACCGCATATATATACTATGCATGATGTGTGTGTAACCTGAGAAAATATAGTGGGCGTGCTAATGATGTACTTTGGCCAAGTTGCGGCCGCCGAAAACAATACTGTCCCCAGTAAAGCGTCATCCGAACGTCCACGTATTACCAGGTCTGATAAGAAGCTGAGACTATGGGTCGGGCAGAACGCCTAGGGTCCACAAGAATCTAGTCCAGGTACTCTCGTCAAACAAAGCGCCATAAGTCCCAATGTCAACAAAATCATAGCAGCCCTTTCTTCGAAACACTATTACGGTTCGATCCCTTGACTCCACATGCAGCGCGAGCGTGGGAGCACGATCCCTTGACTCCACATGCAGCGCGAGCAGTGGGAGCACCAACTGACCCAGTTTTTGAACATTCATGGTCAACCAGTAGACAGCCGTGGTCAAATGGCCTGATCACACATACATCCAGAAACGGTCGCACAGACATACGACCCGGTCCTTCACACACCCAGACCCACACCTCAATAAAACGACAAGGCTGCTACTGTGTGCGACACATAGGTCCAACCTAAGTTGATCTGGCAGTCAACTAAGGCAGAAAAACTGAGGACGCCATGGTTTTCTTAATAAGACAGTAGAATTGCTGGGCTTAGTCATGCGTCGCATGACACTTCTGCATTACGCAACCCACGAGAAATCCTCACGCAGTAGCACGCACTGCGCGTGACACCAGATTATGATTCGGTGTTTTGCATTTCATCGCCCCCCTCCTCCAGTTAACTGGTATGGCATTAGCGATTCGTGCTGTACACCCGTGCACAGACCCGAAACACGAGAGAAATCTCCCCGCGACACCAGGATCCTGCCAGGAGAAACCGAGACAGGCCAATCACGAGCTGTGCACTACCGTGAGACACCCGAAAATATAATTTACAGAAGACTATGGTTGTTCGCAGTATAGATCCACCGTACTGTCCCAGTCTGGCTCCCACATATAGTATCGACAAATTTGTAATTCCCAACTCGACTCTGCATAACACGTGCCCATCCGATGTAGGGCACTTCGAACCTCTCTTTCAATGACTCTCAATGAAAGCGCGCCCATGTGACGAACTGAAAAAATATGCTGGATTACTTTTCTTTCTGTTCCAATAATCGTTTTTCAGCTTCCTCACGTTTCCGCGCCTCTTCTATTTTTCTGTCGATTTCCTTCATTCTCGTGCGTCGTGTTCGCCTTTCAGCATCACTATCGTAGCTCGAACCCGTGGAACTTCTGGAAACAATCGTTACAAAGAAACGAATGAGGTGTACCGTCTGCGGCGATCATGACGCCGTGAATCCCGGTGGGATTTATCTGTACCTCTGGATCGTTTCCTGTCCCGACCATATTCATCACCCTTATCTTTGTAACGATCTTTTTCTTTGCCCCGGTCTCTCGAGCGGCTTCGATGCCTTTTGTGCCGTGATTTGTAGGGACTGGAACTTGAACGACTCCGCGATCGTCCCATTGGGTTGTGTGCGCAGTTGGCGCCTGACCCACTGTGCAGGCCGACGGGATGGAAAAATGTGAGGCTGTCATTGGTCAAGGACGCTCACTGACTGGTGGCCTTGAACAGATATCGACGTGGCTCCCGGATGAACTGTTAGCGGTTCACGGATTCACGGATTGATACACAGGATCGAGGCTTTTGCCCAAGTTTCCCGGGTCGGTTTTGTTCTTGTCGGTCAGTGGCTGTCGTTCACCTGAAAGGCACAAGTGAAAAAAGGGTGTAGCACTGCTCTTTATGTTCTCAGCGCGGGGCAGTATGCTTGACAGCGCGAGGATTCGCATAAATAAATATCTAAGAGTGCTTTAAATTGGGTTCGAGAAGGAGCGTGTACAACCGTCGGAGGAAAGTCATTCCACGCAGCTACTACCCGAAATGAAAAAAAGTTTTGTCTAATGTCATGAAATGACTGGATTTGGAGATTCAGCTTGCAAACTGTCTTTTTCATCGGGCTTCCACATACTGCCACCAATGTGCTGCTCCGACGGGGGGCACATCTGCAGCTAACCTATTAAATCGCCTAATGATTGAAACACGTGTTCGACCTTATTGTCCAAATTGCCAAAATGTGTTGTGTTCTAGACGTTGTGCAGTTTCAGCTAGACTAAATGATGAAGTTGAACAGACGGTCGGGCCCTGAAATCTAGGGTGGAAGTGGCAAACAATAGGCTTGCGGCACGAGAAGGCCTCTCAGACATCTGAGGTTGAATTGAGTTGATTATTGAAGGTGTGGTGTTTTGTACCTTTATTTTGCTTTCATTATAACACTACGTATTTCGTCAATCGCATAATCATTTTTTGTTTGAATACGAAAAAATGCAAAAACGCGCACGTGTAAAAAAATTCGCCCAATACAAACGTGGTCACATGCTTGGACACTTCTGATTTCTCTCGCGCTTGCAGTGGTCATTCGCGGTTCTCATATGCTAACTCTGACACCAAAATAGCTCAGACCGTCTTCGGAATATATTATGTGTGGGAACTGTTCAGAAGAAGATCCCTGGGCCACCATAATTTGATTGTTGTTTATTCACTGACCTGGGCCAACAATGGACTATTTTAAAGAGAACGATGATTAGTGAGCCTGTTCCATCTGAACTATTTATTATTGTATATCCAATCTAGGGCTATCATTTTTATTTCTTTGTCACACACCGCTGGGTAGCCAGACCACTACAAATGAAAATTCACTCAAAGCACCAGCTACCAAAATGTAGGATCAAGGATATGCAAAGTGTTCTTCAGTCAGTGAATTTGGCGCCGCCAATCCCTTCTGTGGAATCCAGTCCGACAAATTAGGTGGGTCTCTCGACATTCACGAGTCCCACCATTCTTCTTTACATTATGAGGATTCATTGATAAAGGGTGTGGTCGAATAGGACTGAAAAGCCACTACTCTCCTGTCATCCTCTCTTGAGGACGAACACTCGTGAATCTCCAGTAGATATACGCAGGTGGTTTGACACAAGCTGCAAAATCCGGAATTTTAATTGGATTATAATGGGAAATCTTACCGAGATTCTGAAGAGCAGTGAAGGCTTTGCGCTACAGCGGAAAGATTTAAGAGAGCCAAAATACTTAGCTTTGGTATCTAGTTGTGTCTTATTCTCTGGTCCAGCGCTTCCCACATAAAGTACAGGAGTAAGCACACGCTCCTTTGCGAGATAAAGGTACAGTTTTGTTGTACAGAGCAAGATGTCAAATCAATGCCTACCGCTATTCATTGTCGAAAGACACCGATGTATCCCCACTCATTTCATGAAAAACATGCATTATGCAGGCGTTCGCTAAAAGGTCTAAAAGGGACCAACCATTAATTAGCATCTATGTATATTCGAAAGAATTTCCAGCTGTGGTCTGATGCTTGAAAAAAGCCTAGTGTTTTCGGTAGTTCCATCGTCGAAACCGATATTCTTCGCGCCACTTGCTCATTCGAATTCACTCTCATTCCAATGATGACGGAGTTGGCTTTCATTCCTAGTTAGCGCTTTTTTAACAGGAAGTTCCTTCGGCGGCACATTGTTAAAATTAATATCCACCGGAATTTGCATTGCGCCAAGAGAATTATCTACTCAAGTGCAGAATTCAAATGCTCAGCAAGAAGCCATTTTCATGCGATAAGCAAATGTTCTTTTACTTCTGTCTTTAACGTTCACTGGCCACTCAGCTACATCAGCCAAGTGCAGCCTTTTTAGTTATAAAGTTTGTCATCGGAGTTTTCGAATTCCAAGGAACTGCTTTCAGTTCAAGCAGAGGTTTCCACAGGGAAAAGGACGGAACTCCTGGATTTTTTTCTGAATTTACCGTCAAAGTGCCATTAACCTGGCACTAAAAACAAATATTCAATCGTAGCGCGCAGTTTATCGAAATCCACCGGGTAGAAGCGGATACATTGTGGACCGTCATAAAATTAACTCACAAGGGGTTTTGAAATATTTCCTTTCGGAAAGGTACTTGCCAAACGAATCGCTCGTTAACTGGATACTTGACTGCTCTTTTGTCAAGGATTTTGGGTTGAAAAGGTCAAGCCAGTGCACATAATTTTCTTGATTTCTGGCATCCATCGTAAACCGCAATTTTTGCTCGGATGCTCCAGGTTGGATTGGAATACAGGATATTTTAGGTCTGTTATTCGAGTTTGCTGCCGCAAGTGCTTCTCATTGACCTAAAAATAAATGTGGATGTTTCAACAAATCACTAGGTGTATCTTTCCTGGGCCTAATTTAAACACAATAGAGGACACCAGACGCTAGGCCGTTACCTAAAAATGTCATAAATATACTCCCTGTCCGTACAAATTGGTATATTACGCAAAGATTCACAGTCTCTAAATGTGATAAATCCCACATCCGTGATATTCTTCCCGCTGCTTGCGATTTGTAATGAGTTTTGAAATCATTTTTGTACCGCACGCGACACTGCTTGTTAGCTCCAGCGTTGCGGATTTTCTGCAAAAGATAAACGAGCAAATTGGTAGCTCTGCTAATTTTCCAGCGCAGAAACAAAACATGGTGGAGGCAGGATGGTAAAAAACCAATCCATTCTATTATTCCCGGTTTTTTGAGGCTACATGGCACTTATAATAGTTTTCGTCCTACGACTCCTTAGAAAGAATATCGGACTTGATGATAGCAGTTCGAGAAATTCAAAAGTGCTTGATCTCAAAAAGAATAAAATCTGCAGGCAATGTGAAAAAACGTAAAATATAGGTCTTCCACAGTTGTGAGGCAATGGTATTGTGCTGGAGATGCAGAAATAAAACACAAGCAACCTCTTTGTAAATTGTGGCCGATTTAGGAAATTTCTTTCCCAAAACCCCGTACAATGGACCCAGGTATCGGTGACTGAAAGTTTTGAAGGCACACAAACATGTACTTAAACTGAAAACACAGGACCAGGAAAAATATTTCCCCTTTGTTAAGGATAATCGCGATTTCGAATGTGAGTATAAACATTCCAGTCACACCGCGTCATTAACAGCCGTCATTTCACTCCGTGACTTGCCTCTACCAGCGTCTGTGTGCTGTTTGCTTGTTCGAATTGACTGAGCTGTCTTTTCTGCCCTTCGTTCCCCCGACCAAAAACAATGGTAGCTGGATTATTTACTAATGCACCAACCGCACTTATGACTGCTTGGATGGTTTCCACCTTGCAGATCTGGTAGCATGCACGAGGGAGGAAACCTCGTGTGGTGGACGGATACGCCCTGCAGGGAGGGTCTCCCTGTTACGTTGTGCCATGTTGCGTTCGCATGCCCGCCAATCCTCCAGTAGCACGCGTGCATCGCCCATCTCCGATGGTCCCGAGTCTGGCCTTTAAATTCAGGAAATCAAAAAAAGTGCTGCGGACTTCTGTTTGTTGCTGCTGGAATTAGGCTCGCCTCGGTTGAGTTATGTATCTGGCAATGCCATAAGCCACAAATGAAAAAAAACTGGCCTGTCATCTGGAAAAAAAACAAAATTAAAAGTTCACTTGGGATAGCCGGAAGATACTCTGCAATGCCCACGGCCTACATCGGCGGGCGTAGCTGTATCTGCCTTCGTCAGAACAGAGGCTACACCGCAACAAAGCCCATTTCGTCATCCAAACAGAGAATACATCTCCTCGCCACTCCCAGTGGTAGACGCGAAAGCCTTCATCTCTATGCACCACCTACAGATTAGAGCTGATTGCAGTGCTTCGGGTACTGGTGACTATTTCTCGTGCACACACTTTTCTCCTGGTATTACTCAACTCATGTAATAAACACCCGATTAACCAGTTATTTTAGAAGTCCATTCCCGCCAGCCCTGCGCGCTCATCGGCTTTACTGGATATTTTGTAATATAACATCGTATGTTAGCAACCTCAGCCCCTGGTCGCTAGCCTACCAAGTACAAATATATCTATTTTCTACTCCATGTAATCACTTGTTATCACCTTAGTTGCAGCAGATGTCATGTTTTTCTTTCTGTGCATATTAATGCATGTTATCTCATTTTACATCCGCCCAAACTCACTATGTTTTGCGAATCTCCTTCCATCCCCTCACCTTCCCAAGCTATGAACTTCAGAAGTGCTCGTTTTGGACGACCTGGTTAGCTGATATCCACTCCACCCGACTTATGATCTACAACTCTGGGATCACCAAGCGGACCGAGAAAACCCACAATCCCATATCGGTTTAGTTCCAGCTTGTTTCCTCGACCAGGCTGAAATGAATACCGCTGCTCAATGAACTACCGCCCCAGCCGAATCATCTCAAATGTGACGTCCGTCACGTGGCTGTCCAAAAACTGAAGCATGTCAGGCCAATGATGACACGGCACTGCCATACTCAGTTTGANCTGTGTCCCCATCCAACCTAACCCCTTCACCTGACTTCCCAACAACAGTTCAACCAGTGAGTCTGCTTGTTCTCAGATTTCACCATATTTTTGAGACTAAACTTGCCATGTTGTCCCAATTTGACTTATCCCATTTCCACCTCCATCTTTGCTCGGTGTGACTCCGGCCATTTACCAAACCACCCGAGGTCACTCATGGCCAGCAATGGTTTTCCAGTTTTGGTTCATGTCATCCGACTGAGTCTTTGAAATAGTCGAAACTCATGCCCATTGTTCTCTACAAGTTGCTAAAGAAACCGATTATTATTATTATTTAAACGATACTTCACACTCTTTGTGACATTGTCCCCTTTTCACGCAATCCCCACTACCCGCAAATCTCCCAGTCATGCACCAGCCTTACTGCAGACGCATGATCATGCAAGAAGATATGCCACCCACAAGTTGGGAGAGGCAGAAAAGATGTAGGCAGACAAGATGTTAATCCCCACAGCAGCTCCTTCCAGTATACACTGTTATAATGAGTATACATATGCATATACACATATACATAATGAGTATACACATATACATAGCCGCCACCAGGAAGCGCACAATAAAATATGGTGGTACTTGATCATTTATGTGGACATTTAGTCTGCGCTGTCTGCAAATTTAGCAATATTCTAGCTTATGTGTCGCTGACCTTGAGGTTTTGGTTTCGCGCCGGCGGACCCACTAGTGACCCCACTAAAACAACAAGACCAGTGGGTCTCTACAGTTTCACTGTACACCCTAATTTTGGGATCCCTGCTGCCATTCATCTGTATTGGTAATCCCTACACTACATCATCCCCACTTCCGCATTTCGTGGCCCTAGATACAAGCCTAGCATTTAATAGCTTCCATGCCTCATCAACGGTTTTAGATTTCGCTTCAAACTGGCAGGCCAGATCACGGCAATCTTGCTGCTTCACCAGAACCATTGTTCCGAGTCCCTCATTTTCAACGATTTACAGTTTTCTTGTCGTGTCTCTGGAGGGATGCCCCAGCTTTGCTACCCTCGTTTTGTTTTTGCCCGTAACACTCAAATTCTAAAATCATTGTCGGATAATGCCCACTCCCTATGACACCTTTCATTTTCCACGTGACCCTCTATACCCACAAATCCTGCCAGTCATGCTTTCATTCTGAATATAACATTATGTCACCCAGCAGTTGGGACTAAACATCACTATTATAAATAGTAAACTAGCGCCATAATGAAGATAGTTAACTTGAAATAAAACTGAAAAAACGCTGCTGGCTATGAGCGACCTGCAAACAGCCAGGGTCACATAAAGTAAAAATTGAGATGGTGGTGAAATAATATGAAGTGAAGACAAATAGAAAGTTTCTTCTCCGAAACATAGTTGACATTCATAATCAATTGACTCACCGGTGCCACTGTTGTAGGGAAGTCAGGTGTAAAGGATAATTTTGACGGGAAGATAGTGCTACTGCCTGGGATGTACGAGCACTGTAAATGAAATCCTTGAACTCGCGGAAATGACAAACTGAAATTGCAGTATAAAACCGGGCTTGTTAGATGCCAAAAAGGTTGAGCAGTTTAGAACAAATTCGTCTCAGAAGCGATTGAGGTCTTGTTGAACCTACCGATCCAAGTAGGTTCGAGGCCAAGGAAAAATAGTTGTGGGAGTACCATTGCCGGGTGCACACGTATTGTTGGTTGTATCCCAGTGTTAATCGAAGCGTAAATACACAGCTAGAGGCACGCACTCCCCATTTGGATGTGATAGGTTTGCTGAAAACGCTTGACAGAGCACGTGTAGGTTAATACAATCTTTATTATTCTGCGAATATTTTGAAATTGGAAGATTACTTACACCATAAACAGAGAAATTATCCTGGAAATTACAAAGATTTATCCTGTACCCTGGGAGCAAATGCGTATGTGCTGAATGGAGATATCAGGATGCACAGGCGCTCCAAAGCTATTTAATGCAGCGAATGGTATAGTAAACTTGGTGGCGCCAACTTTAATTGTGGCAGCAACTGTGTTACACCAAGGCCTAAAATGCGGTGACCTATCCGCATGAACTAGCCACACGCAAAGCGTCTCTGATCCTAAAGGCTTATTCTATAAAACTGACAAAGTTCCCGGCACCACTGACGGACAGCGGTCACATGCATTCGGTTATTGGATAACCACGATGGAGTAGTCATCAGCTAGCGAGTAGAAAAATTTTGATTTACGCCCACAGTGGGAAACTGGCCGCGGCAGTGTTCAGAGAATTTTATGCAACATGTTTGCTAGTATTTCAATGTTTGTGATGAAGCCACGTGGTGGCATATCAAGCTCATTTAATTCATAATCTATGCTGTGCTAGATTTTATCTCCAGTTGCCCCCACAAGAGCGGATATTATCAATATTTTGAAGGAAGCAGCAGCTATCCTAGGGACTTTTTTGAACGCATCAGCAATTGCATGAGCTTTGTTTGAACTGCGGCCACTACAGAACATAACCCCATATCTAAAGCAGTCTAAAAATCTTTATTTTTTAGGTCCGCTCAAGAATTCCTCTCCGTTTGCTAAAACGTAATGTCATGAAGAAGCGTTCGGCCACGGTCAGTCGGCCGTGAGCCTTGAGCTTCAAAACTTAGACTGACCAACCAAATTTAGTTTATGTGGAAGTATCTTAAAGGTTTTGGGGAGATAAAGTTTTTACACCAGCAACATCCGCCAAATCCACATTATTGCGCCCGAAATGCACCAACCTCTGTGTTCTTACTTTTATTGTGAACATTTAGGCTTATGTTTTAGATATAAATAGTGCATTCTTCTTTCTGCTCCAAATGCCAATACTGAATGTGCAAGTTTCACACCGGTCATGCTTATTTTGGCTATTGTAATAGTAAGCTAATGCTGCTGGAATATTATACCCTCCGCAAATGAAATTACGGACGTGTTGCCTAAGGCTTTCCTACTTTTGTGTTCAACAGCGTGCTAATGCCTCATATGACAAGGTGGCCTAGTGGTAAGAGCGCGAATTGAATGAACGTAACATCGGTGGTTCGAAGCACGCCTCTGCCTCTCGACTTCCCCTGCTTAGGTTTGGTCAACTTGGCAGTACCCAAGCCCTTGTGTTTCTTTTTGGTGGCATGGTAGTTTGCGCCGAAAGGATAGGACAGCTGCATGAGATAACGCATATCTGCGTTCTCCCATAGCCCCAATTGGCCTTGGTGTTCATTCGACAACCACGTGAATCCTATTTGTGTCTACCTGAGGCAATGTAACTCGTTACGTGGAGTGAAATGTTGGCTGATGTAACCTTTGTTCACCTGATAGAAACTGGGCGTTTGATGCTTTGTCTAGCTTTTTAAACTCTCTTAACTGCCATCTTGCATTCGCTTGTTTAACGAAGCGAAAGGAAAAAATTTCCAGCACGTGTCATCATCCTGCTTGTGACGAACATTATTTATGCAGTTTTTCGGAAAATCAGGCACAGTGTATATTTTACCGTTATTTTGCTATCCCGTGTTGCTCTGCAGGGAAAGGAATTAGTTGTTCGAACCTGAATATTGCGTCGGCTTTCTGTGAGTATTTTGGAGCCCTGCAACAGGTTCTGCAAAAAATGACATTAAAAATTTTTGCAGTGGCCAAGGACGTTAATGATGCTTTTGCACTCAAACAGAGCAAGGTGAGCAATATTGAGGAACGATTTTCTTTTGCATGCAGCATCACGTAAATAGCAGCTGGGTTTGCGAAAATTCGGGTCAGAATTGGAAACAGTTTTTGCCGGCAGGCCTATATCTCGCTCAAAGTATCACCTGGTATATCTAGAAGCGACACACTTGCCATCTTTGATACCCATTTTGTCTTAAACGTTAAATCCTTTGGCCTTAATAAGCTAATATTTCGATAGCAAAACCACGCTAAAAGCAAACAATACGGCTAATTTGTCATGATTTCTAGTCCGTTTAAACTCATCCAAGTGTTCGAGGAAGATAACTTGCTTTCACCTATGAATGCGTTGTTTCGCCCAAGATTTCCAGGTTTGAATCATTCTGTATAATCTAGGAATATAATCGGTTATTCCACTTTGACTCCGTCATATCCAAGCAAAACCGTTTCATGTGTTCACAGTGAACAAACGTTTCTGTACCAGCACGTGAGACCGCCCACAAATTCTGGGTGCATTTGATGCATTGATTTACCTCAAATGCATGTTTATCGTAAACGAAGAGCTCTTCCCATGCGCGGGATAGATGCAAAAGTTGACTGAGAACGATTATGATAACTGCTTTTTCTCAGTTGTTGGTGGCACAAATTTAGGAACGATCATTTTAATGCATTTAAAAGAACAGCACAACAGATGTCAATCGCGCCGCCTAAAAGGTGGTTAGTTGGGGCTGCTGCAGAAGGCACGGTTTATTATAAACCGGGTCTTTCCCAGCAAGGTGAATATCTCTACGGCGCGACAGTAAAGGGCAGGTGGCGCCCAGGGGGTACGGGAGACGCCACGACAGATAGGAAAGTGGACCTTGGAGCAGTGTAAATAGTACCACTGGGGACATAAAGTGCGGGAGAAGCATAAAAGCAGGCCAACCTTTGCAGCAGTTGGCGTCAAAATGACGTATTATCTCGGGCGAAATTAGGATGAAAAAGCACACTCTGATCGGCTGGGAATGAGAAATCGTTTACCCAAGAGAGTGGTAATGCTAAAGTCAGATAATCTTGCTGTCCATTAGTGACTTCGTCGAATTTATTAAGGGAGCAAATATTTATATTGCACAGAACCAGATAGTCATCGCGGTAAAAACAGACAAAATGATGATCAGAACTCGCTGACAGATCATTTTCATAACCAGCACCTGTTAATTTGGCAAAAATGTACAGAAATAAGTGTGTGCTTTGTGTGAAAGTAGCACACTTGTTCCGAAAATATCAGGGACGTGGTGAGCTGAAGCCACGCCATTGGTCTGAGCATAGTAGCCGCTGAAATGCCATCGCCACATCGTGAGTTTTTCGATAGCTCCCAGATTTTGCCGCCTAAAGTAGCCCTAAAGCGGCTGCTGAGGTGTAGAAGCCGTTTTTATCCAATGAAGGGACAACATTGTGTTAGACCTGGAGGGCCATGTTAATCATTTAGTTGTAAATAGTGGAGAATGAAGATAAGCGTTCGGGAAGAAGGGGTGGGACCACCTGTAATTGGGAGTCACGTGAAATAGCTGGAAATGTGTCGCTTTTCTCATAGCCATGTGGTTATAATAATAACAGGTTTATTTCTCAACTTGTAAGGAGCATTCACAATGATCATAACCACCTGAACGCGGCTGGAAAATACAGTAAGGAGAGTAACGTACAGACAACGAGATAAGCCTATTGCGGAAAAATTTACCATGGTTTTGGGGAACATGGAACTGGTTAATGAGTACGAGTTACGAATGGACGAGAAACAACGCTGTAATTTCAGTGCACTTGGCTTTGCAGGAAGTTCATGAGAATTTGGGATTACCTAGAAGGCACCTGAATGAGAAGGGTGCATTATGTAGAACACCGTACCTGGGCATGGAATCTTTTTAAGATGGTGGCACAGCAGAAGACCAAAACGGTGAAATAGCACCGATTGAGAAACTGTATGAGGAAAGTGTGCAGGGAAGTAGGCTGTACGTCGGGAGCTACAGGAAATAACAACGCACACTGTGAAATAGGAATGGGCAGTTGACAGCATCCTGCGCAGAAAAAGTTGTACGGCTATGTAGCGAATTTCGGTTGGTCCGGAAGTTTTAGCAGTTCAAATCACACAGGGACGGAAACCGAAATTTCAAGGTCAGGTGTTGTAGAAACATTTTTTTGGATTATAGCCCACCCATTTGTCGTTAACCATTTTTATACTAGGTAACCACTTTTTCACCTGGGCTCCCTAATTTTCTGCGGTCACAGAATTAAACAGGTCCCCCTTCTTCAGTAGGCTAAATAGGTCTCAGTCCCCAGGGCGTTTAAACTTCTACACTACTATTCCTCAAACTAGCTCGAAGTATTTCATTATGACATCGCTCCTGTCTTCCTCCTCTAAGCGGTTGCCAGACCCCGAATCCCCATCAACCATCTCCACAGTATATCCAAAGAGGCGGCTCGCGGCCAGAAGACCCAGCTCTCAACCCCCACATCCATCGAGGCCGGCAAAAACT